TGTCTACCAGCCGTGCCAGCGCCAGTTCAACTACTGAGCGTCCGCTGGCCGCGCTCCGAACCCCTCGCCGACTCCCGATCCCCGCTGGGCCCTTCGGCGCAGCTCCCGTGCGGTCCGAGGGGCGGCAGCGGGCCGCCTCGGGCTGGACGCCGCGGCCTCCCTCCTAGTGTGAGGTTGGGCGACGGCCCTTCCTTGACTCCCTCGGTTTCGGCCTCTGATCCTCTGCACTCCCTCACCCGCCTCGCCCTCCCTCCTCCCGGCCCCCATGCCCAGCATCTGATTCTCCAGCCCCCTCCCTCCTGACATTCTTTCTTCTCGAATCCCCATCCTTGTCTCTCTCCCCTTCACCCTTGCCATCCAGTCCTTTACCGCTGTCCCCCAACCCTGGTCAACTTCTGGTAGCCTCTTCGAGTCCCCGATCTAGCTTATTCCCACCTTCAACTCCTATCTGACTCGCCCAGGCCCATATTTGGCATCACACTCACTCCTGTTCCTGTACTATTCATTCCCCAAATTCCCTCCCAGTGGTGGGGACCCTAGCCAGCTCTGACCGGGTACGACAAGTGTGACCAGGGTGGCTGTCCTTGTCCTCCTGTAGTAAGGGCTCAGGTTCAGGGTTTTGCTTTTAGTCCTTTACTTTCCCTCTGCCCTGGGGGCTAGGCTCCTGGCAGCTGCGTAGGCCTGGAAAGGTAAAGTATGTGGAAAAGGACTGTGCGATGTGAATTACAGGGAGAAGATGGAGGGAATCCAAGGAAAGAGGCAGCCTGTGTGGAGATGTGGACAAGACAGGCTGAGAGAAGCTGTAGGCAGCAGTGCACCTTGGGAGCTCACTCAGAGGCCAAGCCCTGTCCTCAGGCTGAAGCCTGGAGTCTGCCCCACTTCCCTTTCTTCTCAACCACTCTTCTGCAGACCCTGAGTCTGATGGGCTTAGGACCTTGTTGCTCTACCCCTGACATGCCACCGCGGAGTAGCAGCTGGGCAAGGCATCACCATCACCGCCATTGTTCACATGCCCAAAGTGCTCTGCCTAGCTTAGGAGAGACACAGGCCAGAGAGCTTCCAGGCTGGGAGCGGCCCACCCTAGGTGAGAGTTCCCAGGAATGATGGTGGAGCAGCGGACTCCCCCTTGGGGTGAAGCCAGCCCAAGATGGACAGCTCAGCCTTCATCTCGCCTCTGGCCTTGTATTGGGCACCCTGCTTGGTGTGGCTGACAAACACTCTCGAGGTTCTTCAGGAACCCCACGGTTCCCATCCTCAGCGTCCCTGTCCAGGTTCAGGGCCTTCAAGGGAGCCTCTTCTCCTTTTCTCCCACAGGGCTTCCTTCCTTTTGGGGTTGCTGGGGAGAAACGGTGCCCTGTAGTCCTCTCTTTCTCCTCAAGTGAGTACTCAGAGGAGGGAATCTGAATCCCCGGTAGAAACAGGACAGGGCAGCCAGCTTTCCCTTTCTTGCGGTGGGATTGGATTCTGGGCTCAGACACCAGCAACAGCCTCTCGGGATGCTGAGTTGCTTCCCATTTCTTCTTTCTAGCTGTACTTTTCTAGTGTGCTCTTTTTTGCTTGAAACTTTTAAGATTTCCTATTAGGTACTAACCAATAGGTCTTCCCCCTCACCCCAATTCCAGGTTTCCAGGCCTTACAGCCAAGCTGAGGTTTGGAGGAAACTCTGCATTCCCCTGAGGGCAAAGGCAGCTGCCCTCCCTGACCTTATTAGCCCCAGGCCTCATGTGGGGTGTGTGGGAAAGGGATGACATATCCCCATGGGTGTTGGGCTGAGGACAGAGGGAGACCTGTTGGGGTTTCTTATCCCAGAGAATAAGCCAAATTGATACTTGAAACAGCTAGAAGTCCCCACACCATCCCCTAGGGCCCCAGTAACTGACATTTGCTTCACTTCCCAAATTTCCTTCAGTGATGACTTACTCCCTTTTATTCTTCCAGCTACCCCTTGGGCGCTGCCAGCATAGGGTGCTTGGCACTTCCAAGAGCTGAAACTCCCTTCAGTCCTTCCAGCCTACTACTCACTGCCAGCTGGGGCCGAGGCTCAGTCCTGGGCAGTGCCTGTATGACCCTTCTGGAAGAGTATCGGGCATTCGGCTCAAATCTCAAAAGGCCTTGCCCTTACGTTTATTTCTGGGGGCTCCTAGAACCGAATCACTCATCTGGCTGGTTGTCTCATTTTTTTTGTACTGTCCTATAGATTCTGTAGCATTTGAGTGTGACAGTTTTAATTGTGTATAGATTTCTAAGAACCAACACTATTTCAATCTCCTGCTAGTCCTGAAGCATCAGACCTTATCATACTGTATTGACTGTGTATGTGCCTTTCACCTTGAGCATGCTTCAGGATTTTAAAAAACAACACAAAATCACAGAACTTGAATATACAAGGGAACCAGAATTCACAAAGTCCTATGCAACCTTAGACAGAAGGGGGTAGAGAGTCTGTCTTGACTGATGTTTTCAGAGACCCTGGAGAAGTCTGTACCAGTTTGTATTAACTGTCAATACTACCAGCACTTTGCCAAAACTAAGTATGTGAGAGGGACCCCTGTTTCTGATGAGTACCAATTCCATCCAAGGACAATGTCCAGTGATTTCCCAGGAAGTCTGAGTGATTCTTTAAAGTTGGATGTCACTTTCCAGCTTTTGCCAGTCTAGCCCAGCAGGGTGCCAAGTGTGTAGAGATGTAGCTTGGTGCTGTTTTAGAGTATGCCTGCTCCCCAGCCCCTGCCTGGAACCCTGTAATCAGCTTGCTCAGCCCATAAGGTCTTAGGTGCAACAAGGACCCCGCCAGAGCTGTGGAATGCCTCCCCAGATCTGTGTGGCTCTGTGTGAGGGTACCGAATGGAAACACCATATTCCACTTCCAATACCTTCCTTCTTGCCCTGCCACGTAGTTCTAAATGAAACCAACAAGTTGAGCACATTCCTGTTGGGTGCTTTGAGACTGGCTGAAATGAGGAGACTTTGGTTGACTATGTTGTGGTGTTGACAGACTCTAGGAAACAACCACCTTGAGCGGGTCATGTGGCATGCCTGTGTATGTGTGTAACAGGATTTTGATTGTTAGATTGTAATGCTATTCCTTTATGGGAGAAAAAAATTAATATAAAGAAAAACAAATAAAAATCTATTTAAAGCACATTACGCTTTCTGCCTGAGTTGAACTAAAGTATGAGAAGCACTTTAATGTCAAGCACAGTAATGGCATAGGGCATTTACTTTTATTTTTATTTAGAAAGCCAGACTTATTGAGAGGACAGAAAAGCTCCCAGAGGGGAGTGGACCCGAAGGGGTTGCCCAGCAGAGGGCATTATTAAATTGGCTTTGGTTCTGGTGTGTATGTCACACAGGGGAGGAAGAGGGTAGATAAGCTTGCTGGACACAGCCAGACAATGTGGGGTCTGACTCATAAATAACTACTTTTAGAGGATCCTTATCATGTAAGACCCATGTAAGAAGACAGTTGAAATAGGGGTGAAAATAAGAGCATGACAGAATTACCGACCCATCCTTTTGTTCTCAGGCACTGGGTGCAGCAAGGACGATGAGCCACTGGAGGGGAAGGGATGGAGCTTCAGTCTAACCCTAGGAACATGGCAGAAGGCTGAAGCCCAGTTTGAGATAAGGATAGGGCCCCAAGCACTAGAGTCTCCTGAAGGTTGGGGGTAGGGTGAGGGCAGAAGCAGCTGGCTTTGGAGACTACAAATTTGGAAGAATTGAGCCAGTAAAGGGAAAAACCTGGGCATGTTGATGAAAAGTTACCCCTAGGCCTGATGCAAATAAAAAATAGGGCTGTCAAACAGTGAAATGTAGTGGATCCCTACCTCTGAAGTGGGTAACATGAAATGACCCCTCTAATTTGGGAGCTGCCCCATCCAACCAAAGAACTAGACTGAAGGTGGAAACTTAATCTAAACTTGATGATGGTACAAACAGACTTGCAAAGCCAGTTTGACCAGAAGTTTGACCAACATGTATCAAAGTACTTGGTACAGTGCTGAACAGGGCTAGTTTCTTCAAAGCCAAGAATGAGTTGAGTGATCAAGTACGGGCATTTTCCTCAACCTGCCAGGTGGGCATCTCAGGTGCAATGAGGACAAGATGGGAGTCTAATTCATAAGGAATGGTGTGTCTACTCAGTTCACAGTCCAAAGAGCTTGGTTACCCAAGAATCCCTTACCAATAACATAACTATGTTCTACGACAATGACATTTATTTAACACATTCAGTATTTCACATTGTACAAACCCTTAGATTCTCTTTATTCACTGGTCCATTTCTACAACAAATACATCCAAAACACTATATAACAAAATTATTTACATTTCCGAATGAGATTGCTTTTGCCCCACTACTGCTATTCACACACAGTACTTCCACAGCACAATACATCATGAGAAGATCTAAAAAATGCTCACCCTGTACTCTAGGCTGCCTAGGAAATGTGAAAACTAATAACATTTATAATGGCATTAGCTCCTCTCAATACATTACAGCATTTTAAAAACCTTGAATTTCAACTCGCAACACCCAAAGGGCTCAACAACCCTGCCTTCCCCATTACGTTTTACGAAACAGGTTGCAGGGACTAGGGAAAGGGCCACATTGTTAAAATGAATAACTGTACAGAAATGGATTTTAAAAAGTCACAGCTCAAAATTGCTCTTTGTAAAATTCACACACATTTACAAGTATCCAGTTGCCATCCAGCTTGTTTACTTGGACTTTCTTCGCTTGGATTGCACTGCACTGGTTATGTCTGTGGGGAGAAAGGAAGGACATGGTTAGCTGAAACAATTTGTGTGTGTGTGTGTGTGTGTGTGTGTGTGTGTGTGTGTGTGTGTGTGTGTGTGTTGGAGTCTCACTCTGTCGCCCAGGCTAGAGTGCAGTGGCATGCTCATGGCCTCCACCTGCTGGGCTCAGGCGATCCTTCCACCTTAGCCTTCCAAGTAATTGGAACTACAGGTGTGTGCCACCACACCTGGCTAATTATTTACTTATTTATTTGTAGAGATGAGGTCTCACCAAGTTGCCCAGGCTGGTTTCGAACCTCTGGGCTCAGGCAATCCTCTCGCCCCGGTCTCCCAAAGTGCTAGGATTACAGGCTTGAGCCACTGGGTCCGGCAAGACAACTCTTTATGGCAGAGCCTTTTAGGCAGTCCACAAAAACCAGGGCTGACCTAAGTGCAGCACTACTAGACGCTAAACCAGTCTAAGGGCCCTTGGACTGAAGTCATAGGCTTTGCTTGATGACAACGTAGGAAGAGGGTGCAGCCTTTGTACTAGGGTCTGGCAACTGGGGAAATGTGATACAGGCAGTGGGAGATGAAACATACACACCTGACAGGGTGGGGAGAGCCTTTTTAGTTGAGCAATTAAACCCACGATCTCCCCTCACCAGTTCCCATCACTCAGTGAGGCGTGGATATACGGACAGTGCTTCTGGTGAGACAGCAATGAGTGATGCAACAAGCGAGTAAATTGTGCTAGAGGCAAAAACAAAAAAACAAAAACAAAAAAACAAACAAAAAAAAAACAGCCTTGGGATCCCTTCTGGAGCCAAGTCACTGTTTTGTGGTAAGAACTCTTTTTGTCATGCTATAGTTAAAATTTCTAAACAACATGATCATGGACCTTGGTCATCAGGTGTCTGCTGTCGTCCAGCCGGTTATATCCAGGCTGTGGATACATACAGGCCTGGAAGCAATTCAGAACAAGTAATAGCCTGCTCTGAGCCTAAGTGAGCCTGACAGCATCATGGAAGCGGTAGGAACTTAGTGATTTATATAGGATAACAATGGCATACAGGGAAATGATTGTATTTTAATTCCTTTAATTTATCTTGTACTTATCAGTCTCTTAATCAATCAACTTAATTTTATCCCATATTTAAACCTTTTGTTTTGTTTTGTTTTTTTGAGTTGGGACTCACAGTCGCCCAGACTGAAGTACGGTGGTACAACCATGGCTCACTGCAGCCTCGACCTCCTGGCCTCAGGTGATCCTCTCACCTCAGCCTCTCAATGAGCTGGGACTACAGGTGTGCACCACTATGACTGGCTAATTTTATCTTTTTGTTGCCTAGCTGGTCTTGAATTCCAGGGCTCAAGCAATCCTCCAACCTTGGCCTCCTAAACTGTTGGGATTATAGGCATGGACCACTGTGCCTGGCCCATGTTTTTTTTTTTTGTCAGAGTTTCACTCTGTCACCAATGCACAGGACACTGCAGCCTCGACCTGCTGGGCTCAGGCGATCCTTCCACCTTAGCCTTCCAAGTAGCTGGAACTATAGATAAGTGCCAATATGCCCAGCTAATTTAAAAAAAAATTTATTGTAGAGATTAGGTCTCGCCAAGTTGTCCAGCCTGGTCTCGAATTGGTGAGCTCAGGCAATTCTCTCACCTCAGCCTCCCAAAGTGCTGGGATTATAGGCATGAGCCAGCACAGCTGGCCCAAGTTTCTTAAAAACTTTTCCACACAAAATTCTTCTATGCCAGAGTTCAGTGAATAGCTTGAAGCTCTCCAAATGTAAATATTTCTTTAAAATCTCATATTTCAGCCGGGCCTGGTGGCTCAGCCTGTAATCCCAGCGCTTTGGGAGGCTGAGGTAAGAGGATTGTGAGACCCACCTGGGCAACTTGGCAAGACCTCATCTCTACAATAAATCAAAAAATTAGCCGGGCGTGGTAGTGCGCACCTGTAGTTCCAGCTACTTGGAAGGCTGAGGTGGAAGGATCGCCAGACCCCAGCAGGTGGAGGCTGTGGTGGCCGGGAGTGGCCAGTGCACTCCAGTCTGGGTGAGTGAGACTCCAACTCAAAAAATAAATAAAATAAAATCTCATATTTCTAGCCTGGGTAACATAGCAAGACTTTGTCTCTACCAAAGGAAAAAAAAATTAGCTGGGTGTGGTGGCGTGTGGCTTTAGCCCCAGCTACTTGGGAGGCTGAGGGGAAGGATCACTTGAGCCCAGGAGGTCGAGGCTGCAGTGAGCTGTGATTCTTCCACTGCATTCCAGCCTAGGTGGCAAAGTGAGACCCTGACTCAAAAATAAATAAATAAATAAAGGCCAGGCGCAGTGGCTCAGGTCTATAATCCCAGCACTTTGGGAGGCCAAGGTGAGAGGACTGCCTGAGTCCATAGGTTCCAGACCAGCCTGGGCAACTTGGCGAGACCTCATCTCTACAGTAAGTAAAAAAAAATTAGCCGGGTGTGGTGGTATACACCTGCAGTTCCAGCTACTTGGAAAGTTAAGGCAGAAGGATCACCTGAGCCCAGCAGGTCGAGACTACGGTGGCCATGAGTGTGCCACTGCACTCCAGCCTGGGTAACAGAGTGAGACTCTGACTCAAAACAAAGAAGCAAGCAAAAATATATATAGAAACAAGAATCTCATATTGACATTTAGAAGTCACCTTTATTTCATGGTGCTCCATAGTAGATACTTTGTTTGGTTGTGTCTTTTTTGAGTTGGAGTCTCACTCTATTGCCCAGGCTGGAGTGCAGTGGCATGCTCACAGCGACCACATTCTCGACCTGCTGGGCTCAGGTGAGCCTTCCACCTCAGCCTTCCAAGTAGCTGGAACTACAGGTACGCACCACCATACCCGGCTTACTTTTTGATTTATTGTAGAGATGAGGTCTTGCCAAGTTGCCCAGGCTGGTCTCGAACCCGTGGGCTCAGGCAATCCTCTCACCTCGGTCTCCCAAAGTGCTGGGATTATAGGCACGAGCTACCACACCTGTCCGATATTTTGGTTTTAATGTGAAAATTTAAAAATTACTTCTCATCAAGAAAAAAAATGCTCCTATTAATACAAATCAGATGTATCAATTTCTGGAAATCAGGCTGAATTTTCTGATACTGCATGTTAGGTTCCATGTTCTAAGCAAGTTTTCTGTCTTTTGTATTATAATATTTTGATAACCCAGACTCCCATAAATATGTAGATGCAAAAAGCAAAAATTTTACTCCTATGATTGCTAAGAAGTGAGGCCTAGAAGACTTTCTAAGAGGTGAGCTGTACAATATGTTCAGGCTTCTGTTGGTGGAAATTTCAATATGCGTATCTTAGTGGGAGGTCATGTTGCTTGTGCCATGTGGTAGAATCTGTCTGATTTACACATCAATTTTTTTTTACTAATCAGAGGAGAGTTAATCTGATGGAATGCTGATAATGGTATATTTTATTTTGTTAAATTTTATTTATTTATTTGAGTCAGAGTCTTACTCTGCCATCAAGACTGGAGTGCAGTAGCACGCTCATGGCCATCACAGCCTCGACCTGCTGGGGTCAGGAGATCCTTCCGCCTCAGCGGAACCACAGGAATGTGCCATCATGCCTGGCTAATTTTTTGATTTATTTTATTTTATTTTATTTTAGTTTTTTGAGTTGGAGTCTCACTCTGTCGCCCAGACTGGAGTGCAGTGGCCGCTCCTGACCACCGCAGCCTCGACCTGCTGGGCTCCGGCGATCCTTCCGCCTCAGCCTTCCAAGTAACCGGAATTACAGGCATGTGCTACCACGCCCGGCTGATTTTTTGATTTATTGTAGAGATGAGGTCTCGCTGCCCAGGCGGGTCTCGCACCCACGGGCTCAGGCAATCCACTCACCTCAGCCTCCCAAAGGCGCGGGATTACAGGCTGAGCCGCCGAGTCCGGCTATTTTTTGATTTATTGTAGAGATGAGGTCTTGCCATGTTGCTCATGCTGGTCTCAAACCCCCGAGTCAGGCAATCCTCTCACCTCCGCCTCCCAAAGTGCTGGGATTGTAGGCGTGAGCCACTGCACCCGGCCAATAATGGTATATTTTAATTCATGTAAATAAATTAAGAGTCTCACACAGTCCATACAACTTCTCATAATCAACTCTTTTGTTTATTGTTTTGAGTTGGAGTCTCACTCTGTTGCCCAGGCTGGAGGGCAGAGGCATACTCACAGCCACCGCAGTCTCAACCTGCTGGGCTCAGGTGATCGTTCCACCTCAGCCTTCCTAGTAGCTGTTACTATAGGCATGTGCCACCACGCCTGGCTAATTTTTTTATTTATTGTAGAAATGAGGTCTCGCCAAGTTGCCCAGGCTGGTCTCAAACTCCCGGGCTCAGGCAGTTCTCTCACCTTGGCCTCCCAAAGTACTGGGTTTATAGGCATGAGCCATCACACCCGGCTTAATCAATTCTTTATGTTCAGCTCTCAACTTCATTTTCATTGCAGCAAACTTGTAATTTGCCATAAAAATATACAGGATTTTTGTCTTGACAGTGTTCATCCTTAGAAAAACATCCATTAATTGGGTCAATTCTGGAAGCGTCTCTTTTGTTGTGACATGAAGGATCAAGTGGTATGTCTGAGAAACACATATGTAGCTGGGAAAAGAGGTGGAGAATGAGGGGATAAGTAGCCTCGGGCTCCCCTCCTTCCTTGCTTATTCCCATCTGTCACTGTTCCAAAGCACCTGATGAACTGGCAGCTGCCTCTGAGGGTGACTCAGTTAGTGGGGACATGAGTAAGCAGGTAATTTATGTTAGAAATGGCAAAAGAAAAAAAGGTCATCTTTTGGATGGGGGGACAGGTAAGGGAAGAATGGTGGTGAAGGGTGTACTTGTATACTTCCATGAAGGAAAAAACAAAAACATTTAAAACTGAGTTTGAAGTCTCTATCACCTTCCTTGGGTAAATCTAGTCAATCTGGGTTATACAGCAAAGTCATTTTCCATGTCATTATAAATCTGCCTAAAAAAAGTTTTTTGTTCTTGTGGTC